TCTGCTGTAAAAATAACATGCAGCTGATAGGTCTCCGTATAATGGCCTTCTTGGTCCAGAATTCTTGCAATCTCTGATGGATTTCTTGTCTGTTGGTCGACGTTTATGTGTCTCATAAATGATTAACAGATAACCTTCTTGTCGCGTAACTCAGATAATGTATCCGATCACATACGGTATTATTATAACGTGTTTAACGAAACTGATAAACAAGCCTTGTAAAAAAGCTTGCCAAAAATAAATAATTGAATAAATAAATAAATAAACACTGCAGAAAAAGAGAAAAAAAAGACTGCGAACAGTGAGTTACAATATTTGGCTTGTAAAGAATGTGAAATGGGCGAAGTGAAAAAAGTATACATAGATAACGGCGCGTAGTTGAGAGGCGCGAATCGTGCAGCAGCGGGCCGAGCAGCGCCGGGGCAGAGCTTGGCCGATTCGACGCTAGATGGCAGCAGCTTCTGGCTTAGTCGCCGGTCATCATCTCCATGAACTCTGAGAAAGAGGAAAAGAAAAAAGCGGGGATGATTTATTATCATATTCACGCTTTTCAATTCAAGGGCCTTATGTGTGCCATCTTTACGGTATGGGAGTGATTTATGGGGGAGAATATGGGAGCGTTAAAGATGAATGGGAATGGCTACAAAGAAATGTAATTCATGTTTTCACTCAGATATTTCCACTGTCTTAAATACATGATATATGGCCTAATCCCCTGGGGCGTTGTATTCGTTATAGAGCGAGGAATCTATTGGTAAGTGAAATCGTTCGTGCTAACCCCGTAGACTTTCGTTAAGCAGAACCTATCCGTCTGGTGGTTCAAGATTTTCTTCTAAAAGTTGACCTGCCATTAAATAGTCTAAACAGCTGAGTCGACTTTTCTGTCACCAGCGTAAATTTTCAGCTTTCATTAATTTTCATGATATAAACTAACGATCGGAAGCACCATTATGGAAAATGTTCTAAAGATTATTTTATCGTTATCTGTTGACTTAAGGCATAAGGCCGATTTAGTGTTAAGAATTAATTTGAAATTTATTCGATATTTCACTTGTTCACTAACACGTTGACGATGTAGTAATGCCATATAAAGAACATAATCAACTAATTGTTTTCAAAGTTCTCAAAAATCAAAGAACAACTACAAAAAAAAGAGAAAAAGAAAGACTATATTTTTTCCTAAGATCTACCGAGTCTACAAAAACAAAAGATAAAAAAAAAGAAAGATTCTATATTTTTTTCCCTAAAATCTACCGAGTCTCCAACATGGCTTGACCCGCGATTCAGAACCTTCTCCCCGCGAGCAAAGTTTTCCGCCGTGGCTTTCGCTGTCGTCTCGCACGCAACCCTTTCTAGGCTGTGACCTTGACCACCGAAAAGCCTTGTCTGTTTCCTGCACAAGAAGTTTTTATCTTCCCCCTCCCCCCCTCTTATCCTGGGACTTTCTTTGTTGTTATTCTGGGCCCGTTGGGTTCTTTGTAGACCCAGTGGCTTCTTTGTATACCCATGTGGCTTCTTTGTAGACCCTGTGGCTTCTTTGTATACCCATCTACCCAGTGGATCAGTGGCTTCTTTGTATACCCAGTGGCTTCTTTGTATACCCAGTGGCTTCCCAGTGGCTTCTTTGTTATACCCAGTGGCTTCTACCCAGTGGCTTCTTGTATATTCGTATACCCAGTGGCTTCTTTGTATACCCAGTGGCTTCTACCCACCCAGTGGCTTCTTTGACCCAGTATACCAGTGGCTTCTTTGTATACCCAGTGGTGTGGCCTTGGCTATGTATACCCAGTGGCTTCTTTGTATACCAGGGCTTTGTAGACCCATGGCTTTTGTACCCAGTGGCTTCTCTGTATTCTTTTTCTTTGTATACCCAGTGCTTCTTTGTATACCCAGGGGCTTCTTTGTATACCCAGTGGCTTCTTTGTATACCCAGTGGCTTCTTTGTATACCCAGTGGCTTCTTTGTATACCCATGTGGCTTCTATGTATACCCAGTGGCTTCTTTGTATAGGATGGCTTCTATTGTATAACCCAGTGCTTCTATGTAACCCATGTTGGCTTCGTTATATACCCATGTGGCTTCTTAGTATACCCAGTGGGTTCTTTGTATACCCAGTGGCTTCTTTATAGACCCATGTGGCTTCTATGTGGTTATCTGGTCTCCCAGCTGCTGATGCGGATGTCTTGTCTTGGCCGGTGGCTTGCCAGATCTGATTAAGGATGTCGCGGTAAGCAAGATAATGGCGGTTAACCAAGGGGGCGAAAAATTTAATTTCTGGCTCGCTCTCGACTCAGTGTTGCCACGATCCGGTGGCTCTCGGGAGGAAAGTTATGTGCGGTTTTGAAGATTGGAAAGGGAATTTTTCTTTTCTTTCGTTTATCTTTAATATACTATTTTTATATTTTTTTTAATCAGAAGTTGGACTTTCTTTCGTTTATCTTTAATATACTATTTTTTTTTTTTTTTTTTATCAGAAGTTGGAGGAAGTTTACTTGAAGAGATAAGTTGGGGTCAATATACGGTTTTTTTTTTTTCTTTTCTTTTATGAGAAGTTAGAGGAAGTTTCGTTGAAATAGGTTGTGAAATATTGCTATCGTGGAAGTGCTGCGACAGATACCAACCGACCGAGGAGGTGGTCCTTAAGAGACCGAACACGGAAGCTAAGTGGCTGAAAGAGCTTTGTCCCGTCTCCCCTCCCCCCCCCCCCCGCCCCTCCTTCTCCCTTTTTTCCCTTTTCTCTTTCCTCTTCCTGCTCTTCCCATCCCCCATCTCTCCTTTTTCCTCCTCTTCCCTCTCTTCCCATCCCCCTTCTCCCTTTTTTCCTCCTCTTCCCTCTCTTCCTATCCCCCTTTCTCCCTCTCCTCCTCCCTTGCCCTTTTCCCACACTCCTTTCTCCTCTTCTCCCTTCCTCCTTTCGTCTCATCGTCCCTTCTACCCCTCTGCTCCATCATCCCTCCCAACTCCCCTTACCCCAATCCCCCCACCTCCTCCCACCCCTCCCAACCCTTCCTAATCCCTCCTTAACCCTCCCCAACCCCTCTCTATCCCTACCCCCTCCCATCCTTCTCTATCTCCTCCCCAACCCAACTACCCTATACCAACCCCTCCATATCCCCCTTAACCCTTCCCCAACCCCTTTCCCAACCCCTCCCCAACCCCTTCCCCAACCCCCTCCCCCAACCCCTCCCAACCCTTCCAACCCTTCCCCCCCCACCCTCCCCCCCACCCTTCCCAAGCCCCCACCCCCCCAACTTCCCCAAACCCCACCAACCCACCATCGAAGTCGACGGTGCCTGACCCGTCCTCGTCAATCTCGTCCACGATGTTATCCAGGTCAGCAGAGGTCAGCTTGTCGTCCAGCGCCCCGAGGATCTCCTTCAGCGCCGCCGTCGGGATGAAGCCGTTACCTGAAGGAGGGGGGGGGGGAAGGTGATTAAAAGAGGGGAAACTAATACGAAAAATGCGTGTGTGTGTGTGTGTGTGTGTGTGTGTGTGTGTGTGTGTGTGTGTGTGTGTTGTGTGTGTGTGTGTGTGTGTGTGTGTGTGTGTGTGTGTGTGTGTGTGTGTGGATTACATCCCCCTGTGGTCGCCATTCGATGGAAAATGGTCAGGGTTTGATAGATAAAAGAATAAACTCGAATTAATGTTGAGATTATTGTTCGCCGGAAATATTTTTTGCGCTGATAAGGTGGGGAGGATATCGCCCTCCCCCCCCCCTTTACCCCAATGTTCCTCTCAAAGATAAGCTGTATTTCTCGATTATTGAAAAAATATATATGTATATAAATTCAGAAAGTAATCAAAACAGGTTGCTAAGAGATATGAGGCTAAAATGGGATTCGATCGCTTTAAGATATGATTTTGATCATTTAATTCGGAATTATATGGAATCTAATTGCGTTCAGATATAATCTAGATACTTTTGTAAGATTATTTTCGGCCACATATTGTCTGATATCGAGATTACAGGATTATTTCGAAGGGAAGAGAATTAAAACATGAATATTCACTCATACAAGATTTGCGTGCTTATCTTATCTTATCTTATCTTATCTTATCATCTTATCTTATCTTAACATCTATCTTATCATCTTATCTATCGTAGTAACAAATTTCAACCTGCCCTTGGCTTGATAATCATTAAAGCATATATGTATAGAAAAACAAGAAAAGCCTCTATGATAGAAAAAAATAATAATAATGATGATAATGAAAACAACAACAATAATAATAATAGTAAAAAAAATAATCATTATAATAATAATAATAAAGAAAGAAAGAAAGAAAGAAACAAACAAACAAACAAACAAACAAACAAACAAACAAAAAACAAACAAACAAAAAGAAGTAAGAAGAAAGAAATAGATAAGTAAATAAAAAAATTAAAAATGCGACAAGCTCCCCCGACGAAACCCCACCAAAGGGCCAACCAGGACGCCGCTGTCTCGTGGAGGAAATCGACGTCAAATCAATCTCGCCGCCGTAAGCAACTTCGCCGACGTCTCCACACAGAATCAACCGACTATTTGGCTTTCATGAGATTCCTCCGGCGGCTGTGGACACGGCGCGGGAGAGCTTCTTGGCGATGAATGGGGGACGCGCCCTTGAGTAAACACGGAGGAAGGGGGAAATGGCTGCCGAATGGGGTGCTAAAGGCGTTGAGGAGGTTTCGGAAGGCGATTGGGGTCGTTGGGTAGTTTCTGAGGGTGTTGGAGCTTTCTAAAAGGGTGTTTAGTTGTTTTAATGGGCGTTGAGTTGTTTGCTAAGGGTGTTCAGTAGTTTCTGAGGGTGTTGGAGCTTTCTAAAAGGGCGTTTAGTTGTTTTAATGGGTGTCGAGTGGTTTGCTAAGGGTGTTGAGTAGTCTGAGGTGTTGGAGTTTCGAGTTGTTTAATGGGTGTTGAGTTGGTTTGCTAAGGGTGTTCAGTAGTTTCTAAGGGTGTTGGAGCTTTTAAAAGGGCGTCGAGTTGTTTTAATGGGTGTTGAGTAGTTTGCTAAGGGTGTTCAGTAGTTTCTAAGGGTGTTGGAGCTTTTAAAAGGGTGTTTAGTTGTTTTAATGGGTGTTCAGAATCAGTAGTTTACAAGGGTATTGGAGCTTTTAAAAGGGCTAAGTGTTGAGTAGTTTCGTAAATGGTGTTCATACTTTTAAGGGTGTTGGATATCATAAAAGGGCGCGAGTTGTTTTTATGGATGCTGAGTATTTCTTAAGGGTATTGAGCAGTTTCGTAAGGGCGTTCAGTAGTTTTAAAGGGTACTGAATGGTTCCGTAGGGGTTTTGCGTACAATTTAAAGGTGTTGGGTAGTTCTTAAAGAGACTGGATAATTTTGTCAAGATGCTAAGTAGTTTTTTAAGGGTCCTGAGTGGAATCTTTAAGGATATTGTGTAGTTTTAAGGGTGTTGCACAGCTTCGTAAGGGCGGTGAGCTATTTCAAAAGGGTGTTGAGTATTTGTAAGAGTAATGAGTAAGAGATTTAGCGGAATGAATACAGGAAGGTGAGGACAGACTCCACAGATGCTTATTTGACATATATATATATATATATAAATATACATATATATATATATATATATATATATATATATAATATATATATAATATATATATACCTCCTCCACCCATCCTGCAAATCCCGAATTCGTCGCGAAAATGAAGGGGCCATCAGAGCCTGCACTGACCGCGGTCTGAGTGGCACCGGAGGGTCCATGATCGCATAAAAATCTCTCCTCGACTGCAAGAACAATATCGGCAACGACCGCCAATGGAGAGGCTGCCTGGGGGGGGGACTGGCATTCATTCTCAGAAAACGTAAACGCCCAGATTCAGCAACCCGTTTAGTGCTCCGTCTTTAGAGAGAGTGGAAGGGAAGGGAAGGTGGAGAAAGGCGTGGTAGAAAGGAGAATTGGGGGAGCGACAGAGATAGAGAAAGGGAGGGAGGGAGGAAGAGAGAGAATGAGAGACAGCCAGTCAGATAGACAAAAGGATCAAGAAGAGAGAGGGAGGAGAAAGAGCTGAATAAAGATGTAAGAGGAAACATAATAAAGAACAAAAACAGTTGGGGAAAGAAACACAAAAAGAAGCCGAGACGGAGAGAGTGGGGTTGGGAAACTAAAATTGAAAAAGGGAAATGAAAAAAGATATGGAATATCAGAAAAAAGAAGGAAGCCGAATGGGAAAAGAGAAAAAAAAAGCATCTAGAAAGATCGAGACCAGCTGAAGACAGAGTAGAGAAGAGAGCGGGAGAGAGGGACGAAGGGCCGGCGAGCGAAAGCAGGACGAGAGCGCGAGACAAACAGCGCCGTCCGTCAAGAGATAACAGGCAATTACAGCAGCGGAAGGCAGCAACGAGGGCAATGTCGCCTCTCCTTCCCTCTTCCATTGCCCCCAAGAGCACCGTTCTACGAAGCATTCCCGGGGTCCTTCGCATGCAGCATTTGCGGCAATTGAGGCGAATGAACTGGATGCGCGATTTGCCGACGCGCAGCCGCCCTCTCTGCGATATTTTTCATAACGTCGATTGAGATTTCAGATTCTTCAGTGATTTTATGTTTTGGTCCTTAATTGCGTCTAATTTATGGGAATTTATTTGGTTATTTTCGTATTTTCCATTATTCTTAATATGAATAACTTCCATTTCCCATCCTACATCGTCACGTAATACGTAAAAAACACAAAATCTGCCGCAACGACTCCCGTAAGAACAGTTTCACCTAAACTTCCCACGCTTTATGTGTCGAGAAATTTCCCGTTTTTTATGAAGGTGTCCCATAAGTGATCGCGGGCGAGGAGGTACAGAAAATGAGGGTCATATTGATCACAAGGCGGCCGGCATCCTTCCTCACCTGCATGCTCGCAAGCCTCTCAACCCACACACGGGAGAGGTTTGCAGATATAAAACCTCCCGCGTCAATGGAGAGGCGGCTTTTCATCCTAAGACGGCTAGAATGACAGGCTGTTTGATCTCCTTGCAACCCGGAATTCTTTTATCTCTTCGCTTCTTCGCTCCCGGAGGCTCGGTGATCGAAATTTCAAACGAATACGTGAGCTGCTTATCCGTTTCATTCTAAATTTTGAGATGGAGAACAAAGCTTACTTATTATGCATTCGATATCAAAGTGACAAAAAAGTTAATGGATGTCGAAGTGGCTTGCCATTACCACGTCCATTGCATATGTTAATTAGGGAAGCTCTAACACTTTTCATGCATCTAATTGATCGTTAAAATACCCGTAAGACTGAGGACTGGCAGTGGATGATAAAAATACAGAATGTAAAATGTTCAAAGGATCATAACACACGCAATCTGATTTTTGATGAATTAAAACAAAAATGATAAATCCTTTTGTTATCATACAACGCCCATATTTGAGCTCGAAATGAAATTTGCTCTGCACTTAGCTTTTTAATCGTAAAATCGGCACAAAAAATGAAACACATGTTATATGAAGTTATACAGTCCGGTAATCGCCTGGAGCCATACAATGGAAAAAAATAATGAAAATTGCTTTTCCTCCTTATACATTCGCTCTCTCTCTCTCTCTCTCTATCTCTCTCTCTCTCTCTCTCTCTCTCTCTCTCTCATCGTCTTCTCTCTCTTTCTCTCTCTCGTTTTTCTTTTTTAGAGAGAGAAAGGAATAGAGAAATGGGATAGGCAGAACGTGAGGAAGAGAACAAAGGAGACAGAGAGAACCAGAAACTGAAAGAAAAATCCTGATAAAAAAAAAATGGAGAAGAGACTGAGAAAGAGACAGAAAGAGAAGAGGAAAGATAGTTGCTAACAGAGAAACAGAAAGATAGAAAAAGAGAGACAGAACGAGAGTAAGAGACGAAATGAGAGAAAGGGACAGAGATATATAGAAAGAGAGATTCAGAGGGATAGAAATAGAGAAAGAAACAGAGACAAGGGAAAACAGAAAGCGACAAAGAACCAGAAATAGGGAGAAATAGAATGAGAAGATATTCCGAAAGACACAGAGACAGAGAGAGAAACGAAACTAGAAAAAATAAACAAAAAGAGATATAGCATAATAGAGAGACAAGCTATGAAAAATAAGATACAGAGACAGAAAGAGAGAACATAAAAGAGACAAATAGTGGATGTTCATTATTCTCCGGCAATTCATTCCCTTCAGTGACCTGTTCATTCAACCCACTCAACGGCCCTCGCGCCTCCCCCCCCACCCTCCCGCCCCCCTCTCCCCGCTGCCACGCCCTCCATCACGGCGCAGAGGTACACTGATTGGTCATTATCCACTTGCTGGGATTAGGATGCCTCCACTCATCTCTTCTCTCTTCTTTCTCTCTCTCCTCTCTCTCTTCTCTCTTCTCTTTCTCTTTTTCTCTTTCTCTCTCTTTTCTCTGTTTTCTTCCTCTTCTTTCTCTTCTTTCCTCTCTCTTCTCTTTCTCTCTCCTCTCTCTCTGTCTCTCTCTCTCTCTCTCCTCTTCTCTCCTCTCTCTCTCTCTCTCTCTCTCTCTCTTCTCTCTTCTCTCATTCATCGAAAAGGGATTTTTAGTTTGTGAAGATTTACTATTCAGTTGAAAGTCCCGCGGTATTACACAGGCTGATTCTATAGCAGTATATTTCACATGGTATCTGTGACGTATATAAAGAGTATTTAGATTCAAGTGGGTTCTCGTTACAGTGGTGGAGTGGCGGGTCGTTAATCAGTGAATTGTTGAATGGAATTCCGTTAACATCAGGACTGAAGATTTATATACAAGTAGGATTATGAAATGTTCAATGAGATACTTATTGAATGTATACAGTGGCAAGTACATTTTACTTCGGTTTATTTCGTGCTCAGATTATACTCCACGAAGATTATATGTATTACTGTATACTCTGGTTCCTGGATGAAGCCTAAACAAGAATAGATTAATAAAAATAAATACGATGAGAGACGAATATCATATAAAATAGGTATATTGATATAACAACGATAAGATGTAAAATAAATCACATGATTACTTTCCATAATATAGCCCACTAAGTCGATTAATTCTTCCTTACTTATCATAAGAACAAAAAAATACACTACAATAAATAACTGATATACAAGAAACAGCTTTCAGTGCTTCAAAGGAAAACAAGCATCAAGATAAACCCTTTTGATGCTTTGTATAGCCAAGCTACAGTCTAAAGAGAGGGCCTTGAAAACTATCCGTGGGACCAAATGCTGGAGGCGAGGTTAGACGAGGAATATTTGCTTCGTCTCCTCTTCCTTGCATCACTGTAGCTTCAGTAAAAACTTGTCTCTTCCTTCTTTTCATCTCTTACTTTTCTGTTTACTTTCCTTTTTTTTTTTTTTTCTTTTTTTGTACGCCTCTCTCTCTCTTCTCTTTACTGTGGATTCTTTGTTGGACACATAGGCTTTCATCTTTTTCTATCATTCGCGTCTCTCTTCTCTCTCGTCCTCGGTCTCTCTCTCTCTCTCTCTCTCTCTCTCTCTCTCTCTCTCCTTCTCTCTCCTCTCTCTTCTCCCCCTCCTATTATCTATTTATCTATCAAAAGAGGCAGAAAACGAAGAAGCCCCAAAACCACAATTCACATCCCTACCACCTTTGCCTCTCTCTCCCTCTCCCTCCCCCCTCTCCCTTCTCCCCATCCTTACTTCCTTATCGTAGAGACGGAATGCTTCCTTCAGCTCCTTCTGCATCGCTTCTTCATCCTGCTCCTCAAGGAAGTGGCCTACGACTCTCACGAAGGAATCGAAATTCAACTTCCCAGTTCCTGCAGAGAAGAGATTGCTTGTATATTTCGATTCCCGTAAGGCTTTTGTCGCGAGAATTGGGCAACAGCGGTGGGATAGGCGTTCGGGAAATGGCTCAGGGAGGGGTGGAGGTCTTAATACAGCCTGTGGGTTTGGTTTCTCTTTTTTCCCCTTTCTTTGTATGTGTTTTGTCTGTGTTGGTCTCAGTTACACATTCTCGTCTTTCTCGATTTTTCTCCTTGCTCCTCTCTGCCGTTTGTTTTTCCATCTCTCTCTCTCTCTTCTCTCTCTCTTCTCTGCGTTTGCTTTCTTCATCTCCTCTTCTCTCTCTCTCTCTTCTCTCTCTCTCTCTGCTCATTTGCTTTGTTTCATCTTCTTCCTCTCTCCTCTCTCTTCCTCTCCTCTTCATCTCTCTCTCCCTCTCTCCCTCCCTCCCGTCTCCTCTCCCTCTCCTCTCTCTCTCTCTCTCTCTTCTCTCTCTTCTCTCTCCTCTCTCTCTTATCTATCTCACTCATTTGTGTTACAATACCCTAGAAATACAACATACTACATTTGTGTCTGTGTGTGTGGTCTGTTATTTCTGTCGTCTGTGTGTCTGGCGATGATGACCATAATTTGTGTCTGTGTGCGTGTGTCTGTCTACTTTCAGTCTGTGTGTGTCCTCCCTGGCATGATGGACCTCAGCCCCTCCCCGAGCGCATCCCTCGCACCAAATAGCATGTGAACAGAATTAGAGCGGGGACGTCGACTGGCCTGTCCCTCAACCTCACTTTCCCCTCCCTCTCCCCTCCTCTTCCTTCCTTTCCCACACTTTCCCCCACCTTTCCCCCTCCCCTCCTCTCTCCTGTCCCACCCCTCTCCTTCTTCTTTCCCATCCCTTCCTCGCCTTTCCCCCACCTTTTCTCCTTCTCTCTTCTCTCCTTTCCTTCCCACCTTCTCCCTCCTTCTCTCCCTGCCTCTCCATCCTTCTCTTTCCCCCCTCTCCTCTTCTTGCTCTTCCCCCTCTCCTTCCTTCTTCTTTCCACCTCTCCTCCTCTCCTTTCCCACCCCTCCTCCCTCCCCTCTCCCGCCCCTCACCATCCTTCTCTTTCCCACCTTCCCTTCTCCTTCCTTCCCACCTCCCTCTCCCTTCGGCCCCCTTCCTCCTCCTTTCCTTTCCCACCCTCGCCCTCCTTCTCCTTCCCCACCCCCCTCTCCCTCCATCTCCTTTCCACACTCTCTTCTTTCTCCTTTCCACCCCTCCCCTCCTTCCTTTTCCACCTCTCTCCTTCTTCTCCTTTCCCACCTCCCTCCTTCTCCTGTCTCTCTCCCTCTTCATCCTTCTTCTTTCCCATCCCCTCTCCCTCCTTCTCCTCACCCTTTCCTCCTTCTTCCGTATCCCCCCTCCCCTCCTTTTCCTTTCCCACCCCCCTCTCCTCCCTTCTCTCTTCCACCTTCTCCCTCCTTCTCCCCCCCTCTCCTCCTTCTCCTTTCCCTTCTCCTTTCCTCCTTCCTCTTTCTCCCTCCTTCTTTCCCACCCCCTCCCTCCTTCTCCTTTCCCACCCCTCTCCCTCCTTCTCCTTTCCACCCCTCTCCCTCCTTCTTCCTGTCCCTCTCCCTCTCCATCCTTCTTCTTTCCCACCCCTCTCTCTCTCTCCTTTCCACCCTCTCACTCCTTCCTTTCCCACTCTCTCTTCTCCTTTCCCACCCTCTCTCCATCTCCTTTCCCACCCCTCCTCCTCCACTCCTTTCCCACCCCTCTCCCTCCTTCTCCTCCCTCTCCCTCTCCTCCTTCTCCCTTCCCACCCCTCTCCCTCCTTCTCCCTGTCCCTCTCCCTCTTTACTCCCTCCTCCCGTCCATCCACCTACCGTCGACGTCGTTCTCGGTGAGCAGAGCCTCAAGTTCCTCGTTGATGTAGCTTGCCCCGAGGGTGTTGAGGATCGTGCGAATCTTCTCCTTCTCGATCTTGCCGGTCTTCCCGCTGTCGAACATCGCGAAGGCCTTGCGGAGCACTTGCGGGAAGGGGGAAAGCGGGTTAGACGGGCTGCAAGATCCGATGTGGGTGAGCGTGTTGTATCTGACATGTTTTCGTCACAAAGAGGCGTAAATGTGGATACATGTATCAATATTTATGTGTGTGTGTTTACATCTATATGTAAACATACATATATATGTATGTATACATATGTGTGTGTATATATATATGTGTGTGTGTGTGTGTGTGTATGTTTGTGTGTGCATGTGTGTATATATGTGTGTGTGTGTGCCTGCGTGTAAACGTATGTGTGAATAAATACTTAAAACTAAATGCAAAGGCACAAAGCTGTTATGACATTTGAGATTCACATCTGTGCATCTGAACAGTATTATGCTTTGTTGGGATAATTTTGATTAAAACACTGGATAGAAAATAAATGTGATGCGAGAATTATCCACAGAGAGAAACGAAAGAAAATTATGTTAAGTTATCAAAATAAATGCATGGCAAAAATTAACTATCTGTGTCAATTCTAGATGAAATTTAGCAGATCAAAAATGTTTCAGTATTTTACGGAACTTAGGATGAGTTACCAGTAAGTAAATAATGAAAAAAATACGAAGTAGAAAATCAAAGAAATATAACCTGAAACTGCTTATCAAGAGAAAAACATGTTTTATTTTTTTCTATATATACCGGTCATTATTTGTTGCGATGATCAATCTATTTCCTCCATTATCTTTATTAATCATAAAAGGGATATTGCTTTTTATTACTGACAACCTGCGTTCTACTTTTTTATTTATAGGTCATAACCCCCCCCCTCTCCTCCTCTCACCTCCCCTCTCACACTATCTTTACCATCGTGCGTTTATCATCTTTTTTTTATTTCAACCATTTATCTCTTTCTTTGTTTTTCCTTTTCTTTTTTTTTTTTTTTTTTTTTTTTTTTTCTTCTTTGTCTTTTTAGGGGGGGGGGGGGGTAGGACCGGTGATGACTATGAATATTTTACTGAAAATTATTTTGATTGTTTGCTTGCTTGTCTGATTTTTGTCTGTATCAATCATTTTTTGATCGTGCACCTATTTGTCTATTTGTATGTGTCTGTCAACCTATCAACTTATCTTTCTATCTACCTATCAACTTATCTCTCTATACGATCTATCTATCTGTCTCTCTGTCCGTTTGTCTGTCTATCTATCATATATCAATCTGCTCCATATAACTCACACCTACAATCAGATTTTTTTCCCTCCTCCTTCTTCTTCCTGCGAGAATCTTACGTAATCTGACAAGAAGTAATAATAATAATAACTTCCCCTCCCCTCCCTCCTTTCCCTCCTCCTCCCCTCTTTCCTTTCCTTCCTCAAGTAATAATAATAAATCCTCCCTTCCCTTTCCTCCTTCCCTCTCTCCCCCTCTCCTTCCCTCCTTCCTCCTTTCCTTCCCTTCCCCTCCCTCCCTCCCTCCTTTCCCTTCCCCTCCTTCTCCCTTTCCCTTCCTTCCCTCCCCTTCCCTCCTTTCCTTCCCTCCCCTCCCCCCCTCCTTTCCTCCTCCTTCTCCTTCCCTCCCTCCTCACCCTCCTTTTCCTCTCCCGAGCCCCTAAGACCGCCCACACAAACCACACCCCTCCCTCCTTTTCCTTTCCCTCCCTCCTCACCCTCCTCCTTTCTCTCCTCCTAAGACCACACACCGCCCACACAACCACCCCTCCCCTCCCCCTCTTCCACTTAATCCCTAAGTTGCAATCCTACGGAAATCAATCCAAAGAGGTAAAGGATATAGAACAGGGCTGTCAGTTGCCGCCTCGCCCTGTTCCTCCTGCAGTAATCGCCAATAAAAGTTTATATGGCGGCCGCAGTGTGGAGGGAGCCCCCCCCCCCCCCCGGGAGGAGAATGGCACCCAGAGCCAGTATTGGTGTTCAGGGGGGGGGTGGGGGAGGGGGGGAGGGGGTGCTTTCTTTGGCTCCTTCTCTGTCTCTTTTTTTATGGATTGTTCATGTGGTTTGGTTCTTTTTTTATCATGTTGGGGGGGGTTTGCGAAGGGTGTTGGGGTCTTCGAGAATGATGGAGGATGCATGTGTTCTAACATAATATATATTATATATATATATATATATATATATATATATATATATATATATATGTTAATTTTGGGGAAGATTATGGGGGTAGATTTTTTTTTTTTTTTTTTTTTTTTTAGAGGTGTACTTTTTTCTTTTCTTTTTTTTTTTTTTTTTGGAAGAGTATATCATCTTTTTCTCTTTTTCTGGGGGGGGGGGGCTTATATTCCGTCCGCAATGGCAGCTATTCAGTTTATGACACGTACTCTGTAGGTTGAGGGTCTGAGCACTCCTCCCGGGGCAATGAAATTATGCAAATTGCCCAATTCGTGCAGACCACTCATGTCTCACGTGACCGCTTCTCCCACATTGACCAGCGTAATATACATTTTTCTATATCTCTTTATTCAGACAGAGAGAGCTAGTTTAGATGAAAAAAAAAAAAAATCTTTATATCCCTTCCTTTCTCAAAAAAAAAAAAAAAAAATCTTTATATTCTTTCCTTTCTCCCAGTTTCTATATTTTTTTTTGTCTTATCTCTTTCCCTTATCTCTCCCTCCCTCCTCTCGTGTTCCCAATTTCCTTTATCGAGTTATTTAGGAACAGCCAAGGAAAAGAAAAAAAAAAACAGAGCAAGTTAGTATGAAAATAAGACACGGCAACGACGCTGACTGCAGAGAGAAATTAAGGAGAAAAATAAAATATATATTTATGTATGATAATAATAACAATTAAAAAAAAAAAAAAAAAAAAAAAAAAAAAGCAAGCCATGATCAAAATAACTTACTTCCCATCTTCTCTTCGTCCAAATCGGCTTCCTGGAATGGCAAATAAAATTCCAGCATTATCAGGGAAATTAAAAGGATCACCTAACCTAGGGTCATTTTAGAAGGGGGGGGGGGGGAGGGGTCATGCGGGGTCATATTAATGAGTGACGTCATGATTATAGGAGGGTGGGGGGAAAAATACACTATGAGGTCGAAGTAGGTCAAAATATCATCCACGGGGAATGAAAATGAAGCGTACAAGATGGATACTCTAGTTGAATAGGATAAGCATCTACGGGGAACTATAGCGTATTACTGGGACTCAATCATAATAAAAATTAACGCAGCACTTTCACTTGCTTGGACGAGCAGGAAAAAGCATTTCCGTGGCACGTGGGGATCAGGAAGTAACGATGTCTGCTGCAGATATTGCATGGTGGTTGCATGTCTCAGAATTAGCATCATTTACTTCCCGTTCGGAGACGTTGGTACAAGCATTGCAGGGAATACGGGGAAATTCGTGGATCAAAGACAGGTTGGTAAAAGAAATCGTGTTGCTGAAAACCACACTCAAGAAGCATATGTTGCAATGGTATCCAGCTCGTTGCACACGGGTCAGAACTGCACTGTGCACTTCGAAAAGCAAAGTCAAGTTGCCACATCACCCAACAATGCAGTGAATGGAAGAAATTCGGATTATCAAAGAAAACGTGGGTCTAGAAAACGGGACGTCAAGGGGTAAACTTTGCTAAAAAGACGTACGATACGAAACATACGAGTACATGTGCATGAAAATGCATGACACTACTAAATCAGAAGACATTCTTAGAGGAAGCATACATGAGCTACAGAATAACAGGAAATGAGGTGTAGAAATAAGACAATGAAAGTCACCCATGCACAGACGGTGGTCCTGAAAATTACCTCATTTGAAAAAGCAGGAAAAACATGACAACAGATAAGGAAGTACTACAAGAAATACTCGACGTTCACAGAGAAAAGATACACATTATTGTAAGACAAAGCGTTGAGGAATGTGGAGCGACTAGGTTTATTTTCATCATACACTGTCATTACTAATTTAACGTCAAAACTTCAAATATGTGTTGGTATAAAGCCATACCTTAGCGTATGGTTATGTATGGTTGTGTGGATATAGACTTATTCTAGCAAATGAAACACTTATTGTTGGCTGGCGAAATTTCTGTGTGTGTGTGTGTGGTGTGTGTGAGGGTGTGCGTGTATGTGTGTGTGCGTGCGTTGTGTATCTATCCGTCTATCAATGAATGTATCTAAACATTCATATAACGATGAAATAGTTTATATAGTACAGACGCCAACACATCGCTCGCCGCCAGTCACTAAGCTGCCAAAGCTAAACCAACACAGAACACGTGGCCGCCACAAGTAAACAAACACACAGGGAGCATTAGGGAGTGTCAGCTGATGGCCCTCCGCCCGGTGGGTCTCGCTCTCTCGCTCTCTATCTGTGTGTGGTGTGTGGTGTGTGTGGTGTGTGTGTGTGTGTGTGTGTGTGTGTGTGTTGTGTGTGTGTGTGTGTGTGTGTGTGTGTGTGTGTGTGTGTGTGTGTGTCTATTTGTATGAGATTGCAAATATACACATTTAATACATATGCTATATTGTTGTACTATATACATCTATATATCTATCGATTTATCTATGTATCTATCTATATCTATATATCTATTTATCTATATATCTTATTTATCTATATGTATATGTATGAATATATACACATATAAATGTGTTATATATATATATATAATATATATATATATATATATATATATATATATATATATATATATATAATATATATATATATATATATTGTATTATCATCAATTCTATCTATATACACATACATACATACATATTACATACTTTACACATACATAATATATTATATATATATATTATATATATTATATATATATATATATATATATATATATATATATATTATATATATTTATATATATATATATATATATGTGTGTGTGTGTGTGTATGATATATTGTATATGTATGTATGTAAATGTAGTATACACAAACACACACACACACACATATATTGTGTGTGTGTGTGAACATACTCCCTTCTCATTCTTCATCCTCTTCCTCCACCTTTCCTTCCCTCTCCCCCTCCCCCTCCCTACCCCGCCCCCTAAACCCCCCCCCATTCCCCCTAGCGCCGGAAATGACTATACAGTTCATCACTCTCGAAAATAGTTACCGCACTCTAGCAGCTGTGTGGATGTTTATGTGTTATTCATATAAACAAACCGTGAGTCGAGTTTGTAGTGTAGTAAAATTTTCGTGTGTAGTGGATGTATGCGTTTAAATGCGCGATATTCGTGTATGGGTGTGTTGTGGTGTGTAATAATAATATATATTATATATATGATATATATAATATAATATAATATATATTATATATATATAATATTTATATTATATATATATAATATATATGTAATATATATATATATATATATATATATATATATATATATATATATATATATATATATATATATATATATGTATATATGTATGTATATATATATATAATATATATAATATATATATATATATGTATGTATGTATGTATGTATGTATGTGTGTGTGTGTGTGTGTGTGTGTGTGTGTATGTGTGTGTGGTGTGTGTATACGTGACATACACTTAGGTACATACTGCATAAGTGTGTGCCTATGTAGCATAAGGATAACAGACGTAAACTAGCACACAGGACACAGTGTTGGCGACAAATGCATCACGCATTTTGAACTCCTCGCGTTCATCCTCAGAAATAAGCAAAGACGGAAGACAGATAACTCAATAACGCATTGGCAGAGAGAGAAGAAGAAGAAGAAAAAAAAATCAGACAACATGCACGTGTCTCGAGAAAGGGAGCCTGAGTGCAGGTCAGAAGAGGTCAGGTCAGGCCAGGGTCGTGTAGAACAGCCTGTATCGGGACATCTTTAGCGTATCCCTGCCTCCCTCTCTTTCTCTCTCTCTTCTCTTATCTCTCCCTTTCTCTCTTCCCCCAGAGGCCTGAGACGCTCTCCTCCTCTCCCTCCTCCTACTCCAGGTTCCTCAAGGAAGACTCGATCAAACCACTTACTGGGCCTGGCTAGAAAGGGAAAAAGGAAGGAGAAAAAACAGTGTCAAAATGAGATACAGGGACGTCTTCTCGCTAGCCTGTGTCTTTTGGCAATGTTTTTTATCTATTTCTTTTCTTTCTCTCTTTACTTAGTTCATGGGACGGTCTACTGTATCTCATTTTGTTATGCAAAAAAAAAAATAAAAAATTATGTGAAAAGATAAAAAATTGTTTGGCTTTTTGGAGAACAGATGAAAAAATATAGTGTCGTTCTTTGTATTAATGAACGATTTAAAAAGAACTAGATATTGCTTTAGATTAAAAATAGATATGGGAAAATACTATTGAAAATTTACAACTAATCTATAGAAAGTTTCTATGTTAGTCCATGAATAAAGACTACCTAGTGAATTGTAAAAATATGGTGTGTCAGAGTTTTTTGAAATCAATTTCTGAAAAAAAATAGTATTTCAGTTAGAAAAAAATATTAATTGGTATGGCCTATTAAAATTAGCTAGATACAACGTTTATGTTTCACTCACAATCGATAATCGAGTCACTTTACTGCCGCTGGTTACTTTAACGAACTATAACTATTTAAGTGCCAGAGAATAGGCCTAGAAATCTTTCTTTAAACCCTTTTTTAGTTTGTTTGTTCGTTTCTATCTCTCTCTCTCTTCTGTCTCTTCTATGTCTTCTCTCTTCGTCTGTCTCTCTCTCTCTCTCTCTCTCTCTCTCTCTCTCTCTCTCTCTCTTCTCTCTCTCTCTCTCTCTCTCTGTCTCTCTCTCTCTCTCTCTCTCTCTCTCTCTCTCTCTCTCTCTCTCTCTCTCCTCTCTCTCTCTCTTCTCTCTCTCTCTCTCTCTCTCTCTCTCTCTCTCTCTCTCTCTCTCTCTCTCTCTCTCTCTCTCTCTCTCTCTCTCTCTCTCTCTCTCTCTCTCTCTCTCTCTCTCTCTCTCTCTCCTCTCTCTGTCTCTCTCTCTCTTTCTCTCTTCTCTCTCTCTCTCTCTCTCTCTCTCTCTCTCTCTCTTCTCTCTCTCTCTCTCTCTCTCTTCTCTCTTCTCTTCTCTCTCTCTCTGGTCTCTGTTCTCTGTCTCTGTCTCTGTCTCTCTGTCTCTCTGTCTCTGTCTCTGTCTCTCTCCTCTCTTCTTCTCTCTCTCTCCTCTCCTCTCTCTCTCTTCTCTCTCTCTCTCTCTCTCTCTCTCTCTCTCTCTCTCTCTTCTCTCTGTCTTCTGTCTCTCTCTCTCTCTCTCTCTCTCTTCTCTCTCTCTCTCTCTCTCTCTCTCTCTCTCTCTCTCTCTCTCTCTCTCTCTCTCTCTGTCTCTCTGTCTCTGTCTCTGTCTCTGTCTCTGTCTCTGTCTCTGTCTCTCTGTCTCTCTCTCTCTCTCTCTCTCTCCTCTCTCTCTCTCTCTCCTCTCTTCTCCTCTCTCTCTCTCTCTCTCTCTCTCTCTCTCTCTCTCTCTATATATATATATATATATATAATATATATATTATATATTATATATATATATATATATATATATTATGTATAATATATATATACATATATCATATTCGTTCTCTCTCTCTCATCTCTCTCTCTCTCTCTCTCTCTCTCTCTCTCTCTCTCTCTCTCTCTCTCTCTCTCTCTCTCTCTCTCTCTCTCTCTCTCTCTCTTCTCTCTCTCTCTCTCTCTCTATCTATCATCTATCTATCCTATCTATCTATCCATCTGTCTCTCTAATTCTCTGGTTTACAGTTCTTCTTTGGTTATTTCCATCTGTCAGTTTCATTTGAATTCCATTATATTTGCCTTTTAATCGGCTTTCAGTTCGTATTTATTATCAGTATTTCGAATCTGGACTTTATAAACGCACTGAAATCTAAATAATCATCAATGCTAATCAAGGTTTAAAATTTTAAAAACTTTCTATTCATTATCAAATCAATACTAAATTGTATAACGTTTATCACATCATGTTACATCACAGCGGCTTTTTTTTCTCTTTATTAAATTACGTAACACAGCTTGTTCACCGCCGTAAAGATATCGTTGACTTTGATAAGATTACGTCACTCTCCACGTCAACAAATCCGTCTTCCTCATAACCGTAAATCATTATGCATTCCCCGCATTTTCCGATCCGATAATCCTTTCGCGGGCGCTGCTGTCTCACGGGCGTCGAGGAGATGGGCGGCGATAGACCAACGCGAACTTACCATGGTTGCGGGCGGGCGGGCGGGCAGGGCAGGCAGGGCAGGGCACAGGGCAGGGCACAGGGCACAGAGGCTCGACGAGGGGAACACAAGAGGTGCCAGGAGAGAGAGAGAGCGGAAGACCTCGTTGCCGCAGGGTCTTGCCGGCACTGACGAGGGGGGTCCAGAAGGCAGCCGCGCTCCTCGGGTAGTTTATACGCGGGTGTCGGGTATTTATGAAGTTTAAGCTACATCATTCTAGGGCTTTGCGGAGACGATCATGCTGGGGGAAGGAAGGGGATCCATTACACTTCGTTCACGCACATTGGCTACCGATGGAGGAGGGGAGGAACCCGCTATAATGGGGAGGAGAAGGGGCGATGGGGAATGGGGAGATAGGGAGAAGGAGGGAATAGGAAATGGGGAGGAAAAAGGGAGATGGTTAGGGGGGAGAAGAGGAGGAGATAGGAAATGGGGAGGAGAGAGGGAGATGGTTAATGGGGAGATAGGGAGGAGGAGATAGAAAATGGGAAGAAGAAAGGGAGATGGTTAAGGGGGAGAAAGGGAGATGGTTAAGGGGAGAAGAGGGGTAGACAGGGAATGGGGAAGAGAAAAGGAGATGGTCAAAGGGGAGACCGGGATGAGATGAAGAAGGGGAGAAGGGGAGATGGATAATGGGGAGAGAGAGAGAGAGAAACAGATGGATATTGGTGAGAATAAAGGGAGAAAAAGAAGGGGAGATGGTCAATGGGGAGAAGAAATGTGGAGAGATGTAGCTAATGGGGAAAGTTAGAAGGGCAAGTGAGTAAAGGGGAGAAGGTGTTAATGAGGAGAGGGGGAATGGGTAATGAGAAGAGGAGGAAGGGGAGATAGAATAATGAGGAGAAGAGGATGGAAGGATGAGTAAGGGATGATATTATAAGGGAAAATGGGTAATGGGGAGATGAAGAAATGGGTAACAGGAAGAAAGAAAAGAAGAGAGGGATAATGACATAGAAGAAAGGAAGAAGAAGCTGAGATGAAGGGAAGGTAGATAGTGGGGAGAGGAAAAAGGAAAATGGGTAAAGGAGAGGGAGAAGGAGAGATGGATAATGGGGGAGAGAGAAAATGCGAAATGGGATACCTCGCGCGCACACCTATGGATTTCACTAAAATAAATAATAAATAAATAGAAAAAATAAAATAATAATAATGATAATAATAACCCACACGATACTTTACAGAAAACTTCACAAAACTGTGGGAAAATAAGTGACACAGGGAGAGGAAATGGGTGAATATTTTTTCCCCCTTTCTATTTTTTTCACCCCTTTCTCTCTCTCTCTCTTTTTTTTCTCCCTCTTAGCTGCTTGCACGTAGGGGAGTGAGGCTAAAGGGGTTGGGGTTGGGGGTGGGGTGGGGGGGTGGGGGTGGGTGGGGGGTTGTGATCACCTGTCCGACGACGCCACGGGGAAGTGTCTACCTGAGGGTGACATTAAATAGAAATTCCGGTAAAAATGAAATCTTGCTCTCGATCTTTTATAGTTCGCTTCTCTCTCTCTCTCTTCTTTGGTTCTCTATTGGGTTCTTTCCTGTTTATTTTTATTTATCTGCTCTGTCTGTTCTCTTTCTTTCTCTTTCTCTGTCTGTTGTCTGTCTGGTCTATCTCTGTCTGCCTGTCACTCTCTTTCTCTCTCTCTGTCTGTCTGTCTGTCTGTCTGTCTGTCTATCTCTGCCTGCCTCTCTCTCTCTCTCTCTCTCTCTCTCTCTCTCTCTCTCTCTCTCTCTTCTCTCTCTCTCTCTCTCTCTCTCTCTCTCTCTCTCTCTCTCTCTCTCTCTCTCTCTTCTCTCTCTTCTCCTCTCTCTCTCTCTCTCTCTCTCTCTCTCTCTCTCTCTCTCTTCTCTCTCTCTCTCCTCTCTCTCTCTCTCTCTCTCTGTCTCTCTCTCTTCTCTCTCGGTCTCTGTCTCTGTTTCTGTCTTTCTTTATCTCTATCTATCGCTCATCGATAGCCGCCTCTCTCACTCTCCCCTCCTCTTACTTCCCTCTCCCTCTCTCCTTCCCTCCCTCCTACTCAACCTCTCCATCCCTCCCCTATCCTTCCCTTCTTCCACCCCTCCCTCCCTCCCCTCCCCCCTCCCACTATGAAAGCCCAAGTGACACAAGACGAATGACAGAGCATGAGTCACGCAAAACTCGCCACAGCTGATTGTCAAATGTATTTCAGGAGAATTGCGACACATCTTTAGCGACTATACTTTTCGTATCTGCTTGATTGTCCTCAGCTGGTCCGTCTGTGATTCATGGGCAGGGTTTCGTGTGTGACAGAAGGGTACGCTGATTTTTTTTTTTTTTTTTTTTTTTTTTTTTTGGGGGTGTACGATGACTTAATTGGTTATGGATATATAATGGGGATAGTTTTTTTTTTTTAGAAAGTATAAGTGAGAAGTGTTTGAGAGGGGAGAGAGAGAAGGAAGAGAGAGAGAGGGGGGAGAGAGAAGAGAGAGAGAGAGAGAGAGAGACGGGGGGGGGGGAGAGCAGACAGAGGCAGAGAGATAGAGAGAGAAGAGAAGAGAAGTGGAGAGGAGAGAGATGGGGGAGAGGTGAGAGAGAGAGAGAGAGAGAGAGAAGAGGAAGGAGAGAATTTAAATGAAAAAAAAAAGAGATAAGTAGCCTTTAAACACAGAAACCAACTCTTCCCATTCTCTTCACAAATCACCAACTCTAAGCATCTTAAACAACCAAAAAAGAAAGAGATAAAAACAAGAAAAAAAAAGCAAACAAAGACATTTCTCACTGACGCGGGACTGGAAATCTCCCATTGGAATGGCGGGCCGGCGCTCCCTACGTCATCTTTTCCCAAAATATCCCCAAATCTTGGCAGATCTCCGTTAATTTGAATTTCGGAAACGGCGCAAAGTCATTTTAAGACGAGTTCGCCGACTAAAGAGCGACAGATTTAGTCCGAAAGAGTTGTAAAGAGAACGAGTTGCGATTACCTGCAAGGTGGTTTCAAGCTTTGTTTATTATTGCCAGATGTCACTTTTTATCGGAACTAGATGGCTTATACACGCAAGGTGCAAATGTTTACAAATATGCTTATAAATATAGAACATCCTGCAATTATTGTACGTATATATATATCCATATATATATATATATATTATATATTATATATATATATATATATATATGTGTGTGTGTGTGTGTGTGTGTGGTGTGTGTGTGTGTGTGTGTGTGTGTGTGTGTGTGTGTGTGTGTGTGTGTGTGTGTGTGTGTGTGTGTGTATGTGTGTGTATGTATATATGTATATTATATATATATATATATTATATATTATATATATATATATATATATATATTGTGTGTGTGTGTGTGTGTTGTGTTATGTATGTATATGTATGTATATGTATAAACAAATACATCTATCTATTTTGTATGTATATATGCGTGTGTGTGTGCAAGATTAGATTGCCGATATATATATATATATATAATATATATATATATATATATATATATATATATATATTATATTAGATAGATAGATAGGATAGATAGATAGATAGATAGATAGATAGATAGATAGATATAGATAGACAAATATTTCATTAAATATTCATACAGATATGTAGACAGATAGACAGATAAACTGAGTGAAATCAAACTACTAGACACATACATACACAACCAGGTGTGTTTATATATAGATACAAACAGATACAAATAGATACAGGCCCGCTTGCCTGTATCACAAGTCGCATAAATGACCCATGATGTTAGTAATTCATAAAAGATGCATCCGGTACAGCTGACCTTTCCTTGAGGACAAAGTGGGCCAGGTGTTCTGATCAAAGAGCCTGGTCGCTTCCTGTGGCTTGGTTGTAATACAGGTTGTGGGCGTAACCGACCTCTGATGAGTTCCGAATCCTGTCGGTGAGATGAATGTTTTATTGGTTGGTGTGACGTGTGTGTGTGTGTGTGTGTGTGTGTGATGTGTGGTGTGTGTGTGTTGTGTGAGTGTGTGTGTGTGTGTGTGTGTGTGAGAGAGAGAGAGAGAGAGAAGAGAGAGAGAGAGAGAAGTTTGTGTGAGAGAGAGAGAGAGTGTTGTGTGAGAGATAGAGAGAGAGAGAGAGAGTGGTGTGTGTGAGTGAGAGTGTGTGATGTGTGAGAGAGAGAGTGTGGTGTGTGTAGAGAAGAGAGAAGAGTGTGTGTGGCTGTGTGTGTGTTGTGTTCTGTGTGTGTGTGTGAGAGAGAGATAGAGAGAGTATGTGTGTGTGTGTGTTCTATTTTGTGCGTGTTTAATGATAAAGATCGTAATTATGATTTCGGGTGGTGTGGAATGTGTGTGTGTGTGTTGATAATAAAGATATAATAATGAATGATGTGCAGAGAGTGTGCAGATGTGTGCGTGTATGTATGTTGTGTGTGTGTGGTGTGTGTGTGTTAATGATAAAGATGTGTTTAGGTTTGATGTGTGAATGTGTGTGTGTGTGTATGTGTATGAAATGTCCGTGTGTTTTGGTGTGTGTGTGTGTGGTGTGTGTGTGTGTGTGTGTGTTATGTGTATGTATGTGTGTATGTGTGTGTGTGTGTATGTGTATGTATGTATGTGTGTGTGTGTGTGTGTGTGTATGTATGTCCGTGTATGTGGTGTGTGTGTATGTGTATGTATGTATGTGTGTGTGTGTGTGTGTGTGTGTGTGTGTTGTGTGTGTGGTGTGTGTGTGTGCGTGTTGTGTGTGTGTGTATGTGTATGTATGTCCGTGTAAGTATGTATGTCCGTGTATGTATGTGCGTGTGTGCGTGTGTGTGCGTGTTCCGTTTACATCAACAAACCCACAAGTCCTTTCGGAAGTCACGCGGCTCGGCTTCGAGAGTGTCAGGCGGTGTAGGAGACGCGGCTGACAGGACGCGGCGCCGGCGACGGGGATACAGGCGATCGGCTGGAGGGCGAGGGTCGGAGGGGAAGTTGGGGGAAGAGGGGAAAGGGGAAGAGGGCGGGGAGAGAGGAGGGGGAGAGAGAAGGGGTGGGAAGGGGGAGGGGGAGGGGGGGAAGGAGGGGTGGGAAAGGGGTAGGAGAGAGGGGAGGAGGGGGAGGGGAAGAGAGGGGAGGGAAGGGAAGAGAGGAAAGAGGGAGGGGGAGAGGGAAGGGGAAGCGAGGAGGGAGGCGAAAAGATGGTAAAGAAGGGGTGGGAAGGGAAGAGAGGGGAAGGAGAAGAGG